AATTGATCAACTAATTTAAACAATTTCAGAATCTTATTGTTTTCATCATAAAATATTTCCCTTTTTTCATTTACTGATTTATCTATTAAAGGATATCTTCTTCCATCCCAAAGAAATAAAGAACATGAAAAGAAAGAACAAATAATTTAGTATTTATAAATGACAATCATTAATTAAATAAAGATTCAAACTTTTTTATCAATTAAAATTTTTTGTTAATCAAATCACTTTCTAAAATAAATAACAAAAATACCTTTCGGGCGGAACAAGTGCGCACAGAAAGATACCTCTTGTTAAAAGGAGTGCAGTATATCTAAAAGCATGGGAGGCTTGGGTCTTTGGTCTGCGGAATAAATGAACCTAGCTCTTCTTTCCAAGCTTGGGTGGAGAGTAGTAACCGAGGTTGAACCTCTCTGGATCGAAGTTTTGAAGGCAAAGTATTTTCATGAAAAGGATTTTCTTTCAGCAGAATCAAAGGCGAGAGCTTCACATACCTTGGAAAAGCATTCTAGAAGTTAGGCATTTGGTGGCTAAGGGTATAGGATACTTGGTGAGTACCGGTAGAAAGGCTAGCTTCTGGTTGGATAGTTGGCTAAAAGAGAAACCACTGCATAGCCTGCATTGTCATGTAACCAAAAATATAGCTGCCGAGCACTTAGAAAAATTGGTATCGGACTATTGGAGCAGTAATGGATGGAACTTGGATAACTTGAGGCAGTTTCTCCCTGTCAATATATTACTCCAGTTGGAGATAACATACATAGATGAGGACGTACTCTCAAGCGGTTGATGAGATTATATGGAAACACAATAGCACTGGTAATTTTTCTACGATGACTTGCTTATTAATTCTGAAAATTTTCCTTGGACAGTTACTTGGAACAAACTTTAGAAGCTGAGAGGCACTTCAAAATCTAAGACGTTGTTGTGGTTAATAGCTCATGAGAGGGTTCTTACCAATTCCGCAAGAGTTTCGAGAGGCGTTGCACGAAGTGATGTTTGCCCACGCTCCAACACACAGGGCCAGAAAATGTGCTTCACTTGTTCCGTGACTGCCCTACATCAGAAGCACTATGGAGACGCTAGCTATTTAAGAGATTACCAATGGAACCAATGGCAATCGATGGAGTGTAGCGAATGGATCCATCAGAATATAACATGTCAATTGAAGATCAAGAAGTTCGAATTAGAATGGAGTGTTGCATTTGCTGTCATTTGTTGGTATATATGGATAGGGTGGAATAAGACTGTTTTTGATGGAAATTGCATGTGGTATTCGACAACAGATTCTCTTCTAAAATCTCCCTTAGTGGAGGCTGCTTATTATTTGAGGAAGCAAAGATCTAGTTTGAAACATGAGGAGTTAATTGGATGGAAATCTCCACCGTAAGAATTTATTAAAGTCAATGTAGATGGATATGCAAAGGGTTCATTTGAACTATATGTTGGAACTTAAATATTTTAATAAAAAATAAAATAAAATATTTTATAAATTAAATTTATTATTCTATTAAGTATTTGATCAAATTAGCCGTTATAAGTTAATTACCTTATTTAAGGGCACATTATTTCATAATAATTATTCAATTTATTCATATCATTAACTTACAAATTGGAGTTACAAAACCATGAGTCCTATAAATAAGACATGCCTATTTACTCAAAAAAGGGGTGTTCCTCAACATTCTCCTATTTTTTCTTACCTTGCTTTATCCTCTAAATATTCTTGGGTGAAAAAAAGTGTTTTGAGTTAGATGACTCTATAAATAGTGCAAATTTATAGAGTGTAATTATAAAACTGTAGCATCCTGGGAGTGACATGCTAGATGTATCTCTGCTGCACCGATTGATCTACTCTCTGTAGAAATGTAAATTGCCTTAAAGTAAGTTTTTCACGTCTATTTTGATGGTATTTTCTTATTGATATTTTTTAATAATTGAGTTCACTGATATTATTTTATTTGATCTTATGACTGAGGCACAATAATGACATGATGTGGAGATGAAGGAGAGTGTTCGAGGAATAACACTGTCAACTGCGGATGGAGCATGCTGAGACTCCGCTGGACAATGGTTATTTGCATTCACTTAACAGTTGGGAGAGAAGGACATGCAATTCGGGCTGAGTTGTTTGCTATCTTGAAAGGAATGGAATTAGCCTGGAATAAGGGATACAAAAAAGTGGTATTTGAAGCGGATTCATTGTTGGCCATCCAAACTTTGATTAACTCCATGGTTGGAAGTGGCACTCTCTCAAGTCTAATTAAAGGGATACGGAATTTTGTCAAACGGGACTGGACTTGCATGTGTCGTGCAGCCTACTTACAGACAGGAAGAAGCTTGACCAAAATATAAGAGGGGGCTAAATTGTTTTTTATCACATGTAAATATAATAATATAATTATAACATGTAATATAAAAGGTGATTAAACATAAAATATAATATTATAATAATTTGCTCAAACTATAAGAGTTAATAGAGAAAATTTTAACTAACAATAAAATAATTTAAGTTTATAGTGTTATAAAATAAAATTGTTACAAAATTTGATATTATAATTTAATAATAATGAAATAAAATTGTTTATTAACATAAAATATGACACCATAAAATTAAATTATTTCATTTACAATGTGAGCATGATAACCAACGTATAAATTATATATGATAGATATCTTCAAAAAGTAAAAAATTAAGATTGTTTTTTTCTTCATCAGAAATTAAAATTGTTTAATTGAAAAATTAAGAGTGTAAAAATAGACTTAATAAATGAAATTTTAACTAATAACGAAAATATGACCATATATTATGAAGAGAAGAATAATTGAGAGGATGAATAGAGTTTAAGTTTAGGAATTTCAGGGGCTAATTAGAGATTTTAAAACTACTTTTATGATATTTTTAAAGAAAAATGGATGTTTTATAGAATTTTTTTAATTATAATCACAAGAGAAAAACAAAAACATTTCATAACTCTATTTTCTTCTATTTCAAATAAATCTTTAGATTAAACTTAGATTCTTGAATTATGTACTAAAATTTTCAACCTAAATATTTACTCATTTACTAAATTTATTTATTTATATCAATTTTTTATTAATTTTAATTAAAATACCTGAAAAATATTAATTTTTTTCCAGTAGGGCGGGGGGGCCATCCTCTGTCTCTGCTTACCGTGAAGGTAAGTGCAGACTTCAAGGCTTCACAGCACTATCACCTACAAGATGGATTCCACTAGGCATATGGATGCCTCATGCCATGCGCTAACCAGTGCTTAGAATTTCCTTATAATAAAATAATAATAATAATAATAATATTTTAAAATATAATTTTAAAATAATTTAAAAACTTAAAGAAAAAGGATCTTTGTGTTTAAATTTAATTAAGAGTTTCAACTCTTAATTTATTTAATATGTAAAAAAATTCATCCATTTATATTATAACATTTTCATCTTTTACAAATTGTCATACACAGAAAAGTAAATTATTAAAAATGGAATACAAGGGTTTTGCAAAAAAGATTTATTTAAATCCTGATATTATCTTTGTATTTTTTTTTGAACATTTTTATCATGAAATCGGATTGAATTGTTGCCCTAAAAGAGGAAAGTGGGTGAACCTTACGAGAGTGGTAGAAGTCACTTAATCCACAGATTTGATATTATCTTTGTATTTAAAATAATGATTATATTAAAATATTATAAACCATATTGCTTTTGAGTTGTAAGTATGATAATTTAGAAAGATAATAAAGAGTGAAATGAAAATATCTTAAGAGTTTCAGTCAACAAATATAATATTTAAAAATTTTAAAGATAAAAAAATAATATATGGGCTAAATTTAAAAATAAAAATAAAAATAAAAATTTCTGAAAAGTAAGGGGTGCGCGGCAGCCCGTGCGAGTGCCCCAGTTCCCCCACCCCTAGAACGTTTCCAATAATACAACAACGTCCGTCTGTCCCGCCCCTGAGTCTTGAGAACAACTGTCCCAATAATTCCTTGAAGAGGAACTTCAATATGAAACATATCTAATTTAATAACATCAGATGCAGTCGCTCATGAATCCCCACATTGCGAAATCCCACAATACCTTAAGCATTTCTGTCATTTTTCCCATCCAGGATGCTACTTCCCTATCAAAGATGTTTGGTCTAGAAGTCGAAACATAAATCTCAACAAGAAGAGGAAATTGCAACACCACGAAGAATGTGACAGGAATACCAGCGAGCACAGTTATAAGAATGAGGACCCACAATCGCCCTTCTAGCATAGTGACAAAAGCGGCACAAAATGCCACCGTCATTGTTGCAATAGATATGAAGAGTGAAGAAAGGCCCATAACCAACCTATTAGGTAAGGATTTATGGAAATCTTCATAAGCAAAACGTGAAGTGAGAATCCCCAAAAACATTATCACTGAACTTGATGCAGCAAAAAGAGAAATTGCATCTGATACCATAAATACCATAAACGGCACCGGAGTTTTGTGCAAAAATATAGGGAAACCTGTGCTTTGATTCCACCCACCAGGAACAGTAAAAGCCGCTGCAAACGTAATGGTAATAATAAGAGCACCAACGAATGTAGAAGATTCTGCTGTTTTCTTCACCCATTCCTCTGCTTCTTTTAGCTTATTTTTGTGTTCTCTAACAAACACTTCCAGAGGAGTTTCCCTGTTGTTGTTTTGGTGTTCGCGGTAAGATCGTGGAACGATTTCTTCTACCCCCTACAGTTTTTCATAATATATGAAATAAAGGATTATATAACATTTCTCAATACTTAATTAGAAAAAACAAATAAAAAAAAAAATTACTTTGAACCAACGTAGTTCACTTTGCAACTGCAACGCTGAACCAGAGATGCAATCTAATTGATGAGGAGGGGCTAACTTTGCTGCTAGATGTAATATATTATTTTTATCTTCATCGAGGGCAATAACCATGTTTGTCCCCTCCTCTGCAAACCGATGAAGAAAGCGTGCCACCTCCTCTTGACGATGCGCTATAGCACAAGCAAATATGTTTCTTGATGAATCTTCAGGATCTGTGTTGCCCCGTAATATATTATCATTAGCTTTTGCAATTTCTATCACAATGTCTGGGATGCCGTTCTTGATAGCCTGGAGGGTTGCCTCCACTGCTCTACTTTGCCCACACTGGATCTCATTTAATATTGGAGATGACTTATCACATATCAAACGTATAACCTCACGGGCATACGCATCCATCAACTTTAGCTGATATAAATCCCTTGCTAATAACAGAATAATAATAATAATAATAACTTTAGCATAAAGAAGAATCAAGATATAGAACAAAAATGAAGAAAAGAAAAGGGCTCATTGATCAGTAGACGTAGTATTTCTTACCAAAGTACCGTGAGAGCATTGAAACCAGTATGCGTAGCGCCCCTATACAATAAATGAGTGTATATTTGGGATAAGAAAGAGCAAGTTTCATATTTGCAATTTATTGCCTTTATAATCGTTAGCTAAACTGTGTATGCTTATTGAGTGGATCGATCTTGTTGCTTATATTGCTTACCAGGAATCAGGATACAGAGGATAAGTGGCATTGAAAGCATCATTGCGGCTGGCATCACTGCAGTGAATAAGTTATGTTCAAGATTAGAAAGAACGTGAGTTTCATAACTACAATATAATTGATCTTCTTAAGTTAAAAGTATTGCCTTCAACGCATGATAAAAGAATAAAAAAGATTAAATATCAATTTTAGTTCTTGAATTTTTTTGCATTTTTGTCTCTAAACTATGACAAATATTTTTTTTTATTTTTTTGTTAAATATGTCTATATATGTATATTTTTAATCTGTCCATCTATTTTTAGTCTATCTATATATCCACATTTTCAGTAAATTTGGAAACTAAAAATATGTATAATTAAATAAACTTAATAAATTAAATGATGGAAAAAATATATTTTTTATGGTTTAAGAACTAAAAAATACAAAAGTAATATAAAGACTGAAAATATTCAAAATTAAAAATTCAATGATTAAAAAAATGACATTTAATAAAAAAAATGACCTTAATCCAAATTATAAAAAAAAGGAATAGCAGACACATCCAACAAGTATGCTTTGCTGATAAAGACATAACACAAAAATAAAGGGTATTAAAATCTCCTTTAACGGGCATTATTGCTTACCAAGGAAGATACGCAGAGCATGTTCAACTGCAAGGAATGAGCAATAATATTTAGAATTTTGAAGGAATGAATTTTATAAATACAATAACTAATTGTGTTATTATAATCCTTAGCCAAATAGATGGTTTTTAACTCACAATAAAGGAACACAAAATGATCTTAGTCCAAATTAGAAAATGATTTAAAGATAATTTTTTAATATTATTTTTTGTATAATTTTATATATCATTAAAATAATTAATTTTTTTATTTACTTGAAACTTATAATATTAAATATATTTATTTTTTTAATAACATATAAAAATTATATAAAAAAATGATACAACAGATTGTCTCCTTATCATCGCCTAATCCAAATTATTATAAAACGGAATTAGGAATTAATTAATATATATAAATGCAACGACTTTGAATCATGCATTTATTTGCTTGTTGATGAAAAACATGGTTAAATCTTAAATTTCATCCCTGAACTTTGACTTTTGAACACTTTTAACTCAACTATTTTTAACACTTTTTTAGTTCTCAACTCTTAAAGTCTTAGTTATGCACAGTTTTTATTCCCTCCGCTATCACGCTGTTAATTTTATTTGATGTGACATGCCACATCCACAAAAATTGAATTTTTTTTCATTTGCAAATTCTACGTGACAATTTTTAATTAAGTGATTAACTCATCTTATCTTAATTAAATTGTTTGAAAGTACAAAATTAAAAAAAAAAACAGAGAGAAAACTTCACTGAAGTTCGTCTTTGTTAGTGAACTTCCTACTGTTCCTACCCTAAACCTTTTCCAGAACCCAGAATCCTTTGATAACTTGAAACTCCTATGTATCACTTATCACCCTTCATCTTCATCAATAGTCAAACCGTCCCATGAAGGATGTCCTAATGGTTAAATTCAAAGAATTTAAATTCAAACGTCAGATAGGTGGAAGGGTTTGGAAAAAGAGAGCTATCCATATTATATAATGACGTAAAATAATATATATCAATAGTCAAACTACAAAGAAGGGTGGGGTTGGGAGGGAGCAACATAAGGTTAATTTTTTAATTGTTGTGAGCTACCATTAATTGGAGATTTCAGTTTAATTAAAACGGCTTGGCAACACTAATCCAAAACATATGACAGAGTATGTAAGGCCCAAATCGTGATATATAAAAGTAGCTAGGTCCCTTCTTCATACAGTCTGTATCTACCCATTAATAACTGTGCTCCAAAATAGGAAATGAAGAGGAAGCACCTGCAAATCCTTAATATGGTGATCTTCTGGCTTCATCACGTACGCTTTTTATTTAATTTTATTATTTTGGTGTCCTAAAGTTACATACATCAATAATATAATTTCTTCGCATAATTCATCACAACCTTAATAAATTCAGAAAAAAATATGAGGGAGAAGATCAAGAAAAAAAATCCCAAATCTAAAAATAAGAAAGCTCAGTCGTGCTCCATTCCTATCTCTCTCATCACTCCCTTCTTCTTCCTTTCACTCACCTCATTGCCCAGCTTCTTCCTTTCTCTTGCAGACACTCTCCTTTCTCTCACTTCATTACCCACTTTGCCCTTCGAGAGACTATGGAAGAAATTGTAATAGTATGTCTAATTTTTTGTTGGATTGGGGGCAATTTGGTTTTTCAAGAAGGTATGGCAGGTAGTCATCATTTTGACGTCAGAAAATTTTGTAATAGTGTGTATATTAATACGGGTTTGTTTTGGGGGCATCGGGTCTTTTTCACTATAGATCCTATGTTGAGTAAATTCCAAAATTTTCTTTTTCTGCTTGGTTTTAAAATTCAAGGGATTTATGCTCAGAAAAGGAAATCATGTTTTTGGACATTTTGTTTCTCTTCTTATGCAAGAGACAAGCTTTTATTGTTGAAAAAAAGAAGCAAACACCAGAAAGGCAATTAATGGCTATTGTTTCAGAGACTTGGTCTGTCGGAATTGCAGCAATCACTTGCTTTCCTCATCATCTTTTTTCGACTATCAGTTAACGAGGGTGTGATCTCCTCATTCTTTCAAACAATTGAGAGCTTTGATGTCGTCTTGAGTATTCCTTCTTATTTTCTTCCTACATTTTTGTTTGTTTTAAGTAATATTCAGTCTATTTCTCAAGCTATTGCCACTTTCAAGAGGAAGGATGGAGAAGATTCAGGAGGAGGGATTTTTGTCTGGTGAGATGGGTTATTCATTCTCTATTTCTATTATAAGTTCCTTTTGCTTAATGATTTTCATATAATTCATTTTGTTTTCTCACTAGATTTTATGAATTTCAATTGATTGTTTGTTTTCACTTGAGAATTCTCTTGTGCTTAATAAAAGATAATACCCATTAATCCAAATGGCTAATGTTGGTGTTGTCAATTAAAATGTTGCAAAATTTTTCTATCAATTGGCTTCTATAGGGGCATAATCTGCAGAGATTGTTTGCTGAATGGGCAAAATATATAACTGCAATTCCATCCAAGTATGGCTTATTTCTTTGTAGCTTTATTAACTAAATAAAGTTTTTGTATTCTTTTCCAATTCTTTCTTTTTGGGTATGAGTTTGAGGCTGAGATCATTAAGTGATTAAGAAGTAGCTGACCATTTTTTTTGGTTTAATGGAGAAATTGGGTATCTTTCTGTCTGTTGCAATTATCATCATATAATTCAATTGATGAATATATGTGTTCTATTAATACTAAGAGCAGCTTTTTTATTAAATTTTATGAAATTCCTTTGTGGGTGTGAGAGATTGATTTATGTGGAGAAACTTGGCCACTCAATGAGCCACTTTAAGCCAATTTAGTGGCTTTGAGCGACTGATTTCTGTGGAAGTCTAACGGCGTTGACTGAACTGTAAGCCTATGTTTAGATAAAAATTAGTAAAGGAAAGGAAGGGGAGGCGAGGGGAAGGAAAGGAAGGTGAAGTGAAGAGAAGGAAAATGTTGATATTAATTT